AAATTAAATTTTGTGCTAATTAACTGACGAAAGGTTGCAACTATTAATCAACTGACGTTACAAACATTTAAAATCTAAAATCTCGATAATACTTAGTACTAATAATTTAGTACCAATATTTCATCAAACAACGCAAATAGGATTATTTAGTTTAAATATTTCATCATTAGATTAAATGTTTCACCCATTGACATTTAATTTCAACTATTCATTAATTTCTACTTATGCATTTATGCAAATGCTACGCTATTGTATGAATGCAGTTTAAAATTTGTCCCATCCTTTCAAACATCAAATATTATCCCAGCATATGTTGAAAATTTTTTTGATAATAGCAGCAATAGCAATGGATCTATGTCAAAAAGCAATAATTATCAAATTTCAGGTGATGCGCCCATCCCATAAAGTTCCATAAGTGATACTATGAGTAGGATGCAACATTGATTTGATTAAATGAATCAAATTAAGTGCTTAAAAACGCCAATTGCTTTTCCACATATTGAAATAACCTATCAGTATCCAAAGCATCAGATTTACGTACATGCTATTATAACGCTTCTTTCCGGTTCACAAAAACACACATAAACTACCAGTTGGGGGAGAGAAAAGCGAGAATTTAAAAATATAACAAACAATGGACAGATTAAAAGCTGTTTAAACCTTTGATCTTTAATTTCAACCAATCTGAAATAAAGAGCTTTCATGTGAGCATTTCTGTCATTTCACGAAATTTCTTGTTTCACCATGTTCTTCACTATACCTATGACACCAATTATTTGGCTCAATCTTTTACTTTGCATCATCTCTGAAAAAAATAAAACTTTCCCAATAATTAACCTCGATAAAAGTGATGAAATTATCACATATACTACTCATTCTGGCACCTCAAACAGCTTTGATATCCTCGATTACAACAATTTTGAGCCATTGTTTGGCTCAGAATTTCCATCCGATCCTTCGCAGTTGATTGATTTCGATCAGTTGAGTGAAATTGAGGATATAAGTAGCAAAGAATCGATACCCGAGATCACAAATGCTCCTCATCCTGGCTTTTCAAATAGCCATGATTTGTTGGGCCACACTAATTTGGACTCATTACTTGGCTCATATACAGATTCAAATAGGAATGTGTGGAGAGATGCTAATGGAGAATTAAAAACAAATGATGATAAAGCACGATATCCTATCATTAGAGGTGAGACTTTTGCTTCAAATGTGTGAAAAGTGAACAGCTTCTTGTGATCTAAGTTATTTAGATGCTCAAAGTGAAACTTCTTCGCCACTTAATGTCAACACCGATGACATTATCACGTATATGTACTTACCTGGTTCACAACAAAATGCGGTTCCGATCTATTTTCACCAACTTACTCTTTCCCCAGATGACACATCCGATCAACACGGAAATGCTGAGCAGAACAACATGGACAATAAGCACTTCTCAGATAACTTGATTGTCCCCGACTACAGGGAAAATACCAATGAAGGATCAGAAACAAGTAATGACAAATTGCTTAACGATTTTTCTTTCTACTTTTATAGTTTTTTACTTTCATCCAATCCATAAAATTAAACATATCTATCTCACTAAAACAAAAAATCTACAATTATCAATCGAAATCCATCCAGAAGTAACTTAAAAGTATAATTTTTACTTCAAATATGTGAGATGCTTATTACCTAAGATATTGAAATCTAAGTTATTTAGATACTCAAAGTGGAACTTCTTCGCCACTTAATGTCGACACCGATGACATTATTACATATATGCACTTACCTGGTTCACAACAAAATGCGGTTCCGATCTATTTTCACCAACTTACTCTTTCCCCAGATGACACATCCAGTCAACATGGAAATACTAAAGAGAGCAACATCGATAACACATCAATGAAGGATCAAAAACAGGTCAATGAAGGATCAAAAACAGGTAATGATCGACACATCAATGAAAGATCAAAAACAGGTAATGGTGAATTGCATAACGATTTTTCTCTCTATCTCTTATAGTTCTTCACAATAACGAATCAAAAACCAAAACTCATTTTGTCGTTCAGAATGCGACATTAAAAGTACAATTATTGCTTAAAACATGTGAGAAGATAAGTAAATAACTAATTGTTACCTAAATTACTTAAAATATTCAATATGATATTGTTTTGTGCACTGACATTTTTGTGATTTCTCACATTACTTAACTACAAAATGGTGTAATAGATTTATTAATTGCAAAAATACATGTTTTGACATGAATTTTTCAGATAACAGAAAGTATATTTGTTATTATCCCGGGTGTACTGTGATCACGGAAAATTACAAAGAATATGTAATACATAGGAAAGCGCACAATCAAACTTTTATTTATGAATGCAGAGCTCCCGGTTGTGGGAGGACATTCAACCATAGATCATCATTTTGTAGTCACATACAAACGCATCAACCTAAGCATCAATGCAAAAATTGCGGCAAACTCTTCTGTAGGAAGAATATACTGCAAAAACACAACAAGCACTGTGGCACACCACTTCGTTAGTATCACAAATTTTTTTTAAAATTCGGAAAAAAACTCTTTTTTGAAAAACAATATTTAAAATCGTTCAATTTAAAATATAATGTATATGGAAATGTGGTTTAAAACATCGGTGACCATGGTATAGCAATATACAATTCAAAAAATGCTGCGACATTTTTCTAACCTCAGTGCCTTTTGTATATGACAAAAGTCCTGTGGCAGGCAGTTAGCATATACCGTAACAACTGATGTTTTAATATCGCGAGAGATTAATTTTTTTTTTTTTTTTTAAATAAATTACTTGTCCATTACTCGATTACTTGAAGTTGGGAGTACAAACAATGACGAAAACTAAACCTGATTTCGCCACAACAGAAAATTCACAATCATTTGTTGTGCTTTCCATTGGAAATATAGTATCAAAAGTAAAAAGTAATACCAAAAGTTTTGTTTCAAACATATGATAAGATAAATAAACAGGTTATTATGATTTAAGCAATTTGAAATGATAAAAAAAATGATAATATGGTAAGATTATTTTATGCACTGATATTTTTATGATTTATCACATGGATTAGTAATTGCAAAGACCAATATCATACGAGTTTTTTAGAGGAACGAAGCTACGAATGTGTCTATCGCGGATGTACTATGGTTACAAAAGATTACAAAGAATATGTAGCACATAGGAAAGCACATGGTCAGCCCTTCATCTATGAATGCAAAGTGCCCGGTTGTGGACGGACATTCAACCATGAATCATCGTTGCGCGATCACAAGCAAACGCATGGACCTCGTTGTCAATGCGAGGGCTGTGGCAAATTCTTTTATCGTATGAGTGTATTAAAACTTCACAAGAAATCGTGTTCCAAAGCTCTTCGTTAGTTTTCCAAAGTTAACAAAACTTAGGTCAGCCTAAAGTAGAATGCACGTGAAGTGTGTTATGAAGGATTTGTGACGGCTGAGTGACAGTACAAAATTCATTAGACAAATTCATTAAGATACTATATATATATATATATTTTCGCACTGAGTACTACTACCCACGACCTAAGAACCGAATGCTTAAAAATGTGTTGACAGTGGTGACAATAGCGTTTCAATATACATCAACAAATATTGAAAATATCAACAGAGGAAAAATTATCCTTTCACTCTTAACCAAATTGCTTATTCGTAGAATGTATGCAGAAAAACATACTATTCTATCCAGACTAAAAATTTTCATTCTAGAAAACGGGACACAATTTGGGCATTCTTCGCAAGCATGAGAAAAAAACGTAACAATCGGACGTTTTCGAGGCATCAGATTGTAGCGACCGATTAATGATTTCATTTTACCATTGGATTTTTTTAATATTTCTTCTCTATTTATTATTCCATGAATATCACAGAAATGCATAAATGTTCTAATTGGCAATAATATTCGGAGGCAAGCATTTAAATGTACAAAATGTGCTCACAACTGAAATAAACGATTTGTCATGCCAAAAGCTAATATGAAAAAGCATCATAAATGAGCACCAATCCATAAAATTAAACATATCTATCTCACTAAAACAAAAAATCTACAATTATCGATCGAAATCCATCCAGAAGTAACTTTAAGGTATATTTTTTACTTCAAATATGTGAGATGCTTATTACCTAAGATATTGAAATCTAAGTTATTTAGATACTCAAAGTGGAACTTCTTCGCCACTTAATGTCGACACTGATGACATTATTACATATATGCACTTACCTGGTTCACAACAAAATGCGGTTCCGATCTATTTTCACCAACTTACTCTTTCCTCGGACGATACATCCAGTCAACATGGAAATACTAAAGAGAGCAACATCGATAACAAACACTTCCTGAATAGCTTGAGTATCCACGACTGCAGGGGAAATACCAATGAAGGATCAGAAACAGGTAATGATGAATTGCGCAACTATTTTTCGTTCTATCTCTTATAGTATTTCACTTTCATTAACAGCATGAAATTGTAGAAGTAATAGCGAATCTAAAACCAAAACTCATTTCGTCGTTTAGAAAACGATATTAAAAGTATGATTATTGCTTAAAACATGTGAGAAGATAAGTAAATAACTACTTGTTACCTAAATTACTTAAAATATTCAATATGATATTGTTTTGTGGCAATGAGATTTTTGTGATTTCTCACATTACTTAACTACAAAATGGTGTAATAGATTTATTAATTGCAAAAATACATGTTTTGACATGAATTTTTCAGATAACAGAAAGTATATTTGTTATTATCCCGGGTGTACTGTGATCACGGAAAATTACAAAGGATATGTAATACACAGGAAAGCACATGGTCAACCTTTCATCTATGAATGCAGAGTGCCCGGTTGTGGGAGGACATTCAACCATGAATCATCATTTCGCAGTCACAAGCAAACGCATGAACCTCATCTTCAATGCGAGTGCTGCGGCAAATTCTTCACCACCAGGAAGGGACTGCAATATCATACGATGAATTGCCGAACAAAATCTCGTTAGTTTGCAAATTTAGCAAAATTTTAAACAAATGTGAGTCTGTCTATGAAATGTATTATGGAACATCTGTGACTGCTGCACAGATACTTGATACAATGGAAAATTCACAATTACATTTTGTTGCAAGGCTGTTGAAAAGACTTAAATTTATACTGCCGTTTATATCCACCTTTTTTAGAGATAGCATACCTTCTAGCAGAAATTCCTTGAGGAAATTAACCGTGAGCTTTGTTGTATATATCGGACATTGTAACTCTTTCCACAGTTAAGGCACTGCATCGTAATAGTTTCATATGCATGCGTAATTATTATTCCAAGCAAATCTTCCTTTCCTTGAGCAATGAAACTTACATCAGCAATTAATAACTCAATACTTGGCATAGTTTCATCTGCAAAACCAATACCAAGGTCCACTTGCTTCGGTAATGATACAGGCTAACATTCATCTCAATCCTGTTCACCCCTCCAAGTGGAAGAAACAAAAATTCGTTTTTAATTAATTTTAAATTATTAAAATGGGGGGGGGGTAGCAAAACTTCGGCTTTAAATAAAGGAGTTTGTAACTTTCAATAACCCTAAGGAAAAAAAGAAAGAAAAAGAAATTTAGCTACTCTACTTACCAAAACTTATATCTAATGCAAGACCGATATTTATATATACTGGAAAATAATTAAGCAATTTCTAAATTATTTGAAATGGAATTTATTTCATTGATTATTTCATTGAAGAAATATTTTTATGGTTTATTAGATTACTTAATTAGCTCCCAAACACCATAATAAAATGCCAATTGCAAAAACAAATATCTTAAGAGTTTTTTAGATAAACGAAGCTATGAATGCCTCTACCCCGGGTGTGCTGTGATCGCGATGAATTACAACGAATATGTAACACATAGAAAAGCACATGGTCAACCTCTCATCTATGAATGCAGAGTGCCCGGTTGTGGACGGACATTTGACCATGATTCAACATTTCGCAATCACAAGCAAACGCATGAACCTCGTTGTCAATGCGAGTGCTGTGGCAGATTCTTCACTAGAAATGCACTAACTAAGCATAAGGAGAGCTGCCAAGCAATATCTCGTTAGTTTGCAAATTTGGCCAATTTCAAACAGATATATCAGTCTGAAATAGAATGCACGTGGAATGTGTTATGAAAATGTTGAGTGACAATGTGTAACTATAGGCGAAGATAATTAATTAAACATCTTCTTGTGATTTAAATTATTTGAAATGGAATGTAGTCTGATTATTTCATGGAAGTGATATTTTTATGGCTTATTAGATTATTTAATTAGCTGCCAAACACCATAATAAAATACCAACTGCAAAAACAAATATGCGAGATTTTCAGATGAACGATGCTACGAATGCTTTTATCCCGGATGTACTATGATCACGAACAGTTATAAGGAATATATAACACATAAGAAAACACATGGTCAACCTTTCATCTATGAATGCAGAGTGCCCGGTTGTGGACGGACATTCGACTGTGGACCATCATTTTACAATCACAAGCAAACGCATGAACGTCATCTTCAATGCGAGGATTGTGACAAATTCTTCACCACCAGGAAGGGACTGCAATATCATACGATGAATTGCCAAACAAAATCTCGTTAGTTTGCAAATTTAGCAAAATTTTAAACAAATGTGAGTCTGTCTATGAAATGTATTATGGAACATCTGTGACTGCTGCACAGATACTTGATACAATGGAAAATTCACAATTACATTTTGTTGCAAGGCTGTTGAAAAGACTTAAATTTATATTGCCGTTTATATCCACCTTTTTTAGAGATAGCATACCTTCTAGCAGAAATTCCTTGAGGAAATTAACCGTGAGCTTTGTTGTATATATCGGACATTGTAACTCTTTCCACAGTTAAGGCACTGCATCGTAATAGTTTCATGTGCATGCGTAATTATTATTCCAAGCAAATCTTCCTTTCCTTGAGCAATGAAACTTACATCAGCAATTAATAACTCAATACTTGGCATAGTTTCATCTGCAAAACTAATACCAAGGTCCACTTGCCTCGGTAATGGTACAGGCTGACATTCATCTCAATCCTGTTCACCCCTCCAAGTGGAAGAAACAAAAATTCGTTTTTCATTAATTTTAAATTATTAAAATGGAGGGTAGCAAAACTTCGGCTTTAAATAAAGGAGTTTGTTACTTTCAATAACTCTAAGGAGAAAAAGAAATCCCCATGATTTTAGCTACTCTACTTACCAAAACTTATATCCAATGCAAGATCGATACATATATATGCTCAAAAATAATTAAGCAATTTCTTATGATCTAAATTATTTGAAATGGAATGTATTTCATTGATTATTTCACTGAAATAATATTTTTATGGTTTATTAGATTACTTAGTTAGCTGCCAAACACCATGATAAAATACCAACTGCAAAAACAAATATCATAAGAATTTTTTAGACAAAGGAAGCTACGAATGCCTCTACCCCGGGTGTGCTGTGATCACGAAAAGTTACAAAGAATATGTAACACATAGGAAAACACATGGTCAGCCCTTCATCTATGAATGCAGAGTGCCCGGTTGTGGGCGAACATTTGACCATGATTCAACATTTTTCAATCACAAGCAAACGCATGAACCTCATCCTCAATGCGAGGATTGTGGCAAATTCTTCAGCACCAGGAATGCACTGAAATCTCACATGAAAATCTGCCAAACAAAATCTCGTTAGTTTGCAAATTTAGCACAATTTTAAAAGTATATGTCAACCTGAAATAGCATGCATGTGAAATGTGTTGCGAAACATTTGTAACCGCTGAGTGACAATACAAAGTTTATTTAATGCATTCATTAAATACTGCATATTTATTTCTTTTCATATCAGTGCACTTCATGCGTAGCAGCTGCCCATAACCTAAGAACCGAATGCTTAAAAATATGTTGACAGTGGTGACAATAACGCTTTAAGATACATTTACAAACATTGAAAATATCAACAAAGAAAGAAATAAAAATAACACTTTTAGTCGAATTATTTTGTTTTTCTAAAACGAAAAACATGCAGAAAAATATATCATTCCGCCCACAAAACCAAATCATTTTTTAGCGCTATAAAACAACTAAAAATTTTCATTCTAGAAAATGAGATACAATTTGGACATTCTTCGCAAACATGAGAAAAGGCCTGTAGCAATCAGACGTTTTCGAGACATCAGAATGCAGTGACCGATTAATGATTTATTTTTTTTTCTCCATTTATTATTCCATGAATATCACAGAAATACACAAACAACAAACTGACAGTAAAATTCGGATTCACAGCAAACGATTTGTCATACAAAAAGATAATAAAAAATACGTAAGTGAGAGGAAAGTATTCTCCTAATAATATATAACAAAACTGGAGAATATGAGGTGGTTTTAAGCAGAGAAGGTTAAGATAGATTTTTAGCTTATTTTTTATAATTGTTGATTATTAATTAACTGACTAAGTTCAATAGGAAAAACTGTTGAATTTTATTTTATTTGCATTGTAATTGCTTTGCTCACATTCTGTCGTGGATATTTGACAACTTATGCAAAAAAAAAAGTTTAATAAATTCATTTTGGAGCAATCTTACAATGTAAAAATTAATAATATTTGTAAATTGTGATGATTTCAATTAATTTTTGACGCTAAATTAATTTTAATCACAAATTTCGATATGGATCTCTAGGAAATTTTGACAATTTCTAAGAGTTTTTGTGAATTTAATACTGAAAAATTTTTAAATCTGTTAGATTCTGTTTTAATTAAATGCCAAAAATGTTAGAAAAAATGTAATCATTTAAAAATAAATATATTTTGAACTTAATTGGTTATTTAATTTGCATTCTTTCTGATCTACACACATTCCATCGGGGATATTTGACAATTTATGCAAAGAAAAAAGTTTATAAAATTCACTTTGAAGCAGTTTTTTAATGATGAAATTAAAAAAAATTTGCATTGGTGATGATTTTAATTTTTTTTGACATTAAAATTAATTTTATTTACAAATTTAATGTCATTTAATGTTACAGATTTAGTGTTCGATTATTTGCATAATGAATTTAATAAATTTTATGAATAAAAAAAATAAATTTTATGGTCCTTGAATAGTAGTAAAGTCGAAATTTCATTGAATTATGAAAGAAATATGGATTTTTTATACATTTTGCTTTAAAATCGACATGTTCTTCTAGTTTTTGGGAAGTTTTTCACTCCAATATAATCATAAAAACAATTAAATATCATTTATAAATGATTGAACGATAAATAAATCATAAAACACAATGTTTATTAACCTAAACCCAGAGAAAAATCAATGGAATAATACATATTTCTATCAAAAAAAGAAAAAAATTTTAACTATTACAATGTATGATAGTAAAATTACATGAACACTAGGCACTGTAAATCAGGTGCATACTTGTGTCCATAAATTAACCATTCTTTTTTTTGTTAAACAACACGGTATTTTAATAGTTGGCCATAACTAAGGAAAGGATAGCAGGACCAAAAACTTTAGAAGGTATAGTGGACGTAATGCTTACTATATTTTGAGGGTGAAAAGAGCAATCATTACCGTATTTTGCATGTTATAAAAACAGATTTGGTTTTACAAATGAAGTGGTATTTTGAAATGTCTGAAGCTGGATTATTACCTATTGAAATCCATCATCATTATTTGGTAACAGGTAATGCTGAGAAGTTGTAGGAATTGAGAATTCCAGACCGGTTTTGATGGAAGTTCAAGTGTTAACAACGGAATAAACGTGGAAAATCCAAAAAGAATAGTAATTGGATGAAATATCAACCGATTGGCTATTATCATTGCAGTGCTAAATGCTCGTTGCAAAATGTCTCTGCATAAAAAAGAAGTGTATCTGAATATTGTATGAGGGTTGAAAATACAAGAACCATCGGTTGATCTCTCTCTTATTTCAAGCATAGTAAGTTTACCGCTGTCAACTTCAATAACATGCACGTGAAATTGCACTTTTAGATAAGATTAGACATATCTCATATGCTAATCTGAGGATAAAGAAGCAAAAAAAAAGGGATTTAAAAAAGCAATTATGCCTCAAAATGACAATTACTCCTCTCATCATATCGAAATAATTAAGCTTGAAATAATTAAGCTTAATTAAACATACAAGAATTAAAGGGGATCTTTAATCATAGTCAATAGCGCTTTAGGAAATTCTTTGCTAGTGAACTCCCTCAAGTCCTCACCTTTCTACAGCATGTAACTTTATAAGTTTCTACAAGTCCAATCACCACTGCTCCCTTAGCAGTATCATCTAACTTTGTTATAATAATTAATCCTGTAACTAACTAACTAACTAACCATTTTACTAAATGCCTCTACAAGCATTTTGAGCGGTATTCGCATCGAGAACCAAAATAACATTATGAATAGCAGTGCCATCCAAGTTCCTTATCGTTCTATATATCTTTGATAAGTCCTCCATAACATTAACATTACTCTGCAGCCTGCCTGCTCTATCAGTCAGAACAACATCTATGCTATCTTTTATAGCTTAACTTACTGCTCTACACGCCACACTTGCAGAATCGTTTACCGTACTCTCAAATAACAACAAAGCAATCAGAACGTCCTGTCCACATGTTTAACTGTTCACTAGCATCAGCCCTAGACGTGACGTGTCATACGTGACGAACATGACGGATTATTCTTATATCCGTACGCAAGCGTTAGCAAGAGCTGTGATTGACTTTACCATTACCATTACCACTACACATACTACCATTATTATATGTGGTCCTTTGTCTAAAATTTATCGCTTCTACTTTGTTCATTAGCTGCTGTGTTGATAATAATATTATGCTCAACTTCTTTATCAAATTTGATCTTGCGAACCTATCAATAATCAACTTGCAAGTTTTATGACCAATATCCATACTAATGACCAATTCCTCTAATTCATCCAAAAGCGATTGATCGAACTTTTTTTTTTTTTTTGTCAGAAAAAGTACTTTTTACTCCACAACTGAAGCGAGAAGTTTAAAGGCTACTAAACAAACTCCTTTTAAAATTACAATATAAAGAATAATATGCACTACGTGTACTTGTAAAGTTAAATACAACGTTTTACGTGTTGCATTTTTAAAGTAAAGTGCATTTAATTTCTAATCTAAATATGTTATAAAATAGGATGTTGATTTACAGGTGATCTCATGAGTTATAATGAGAAGATTTTGGACCATTATCAACCTCAATTTTGTCGCAATACCCAGCTAAATGGACACAGCAACCAGACCCATGATCAGGTAATCCGCCAATGTACATGTACATACCTGAATGATTCTTTACAGTATCATGACCTCTTAAGATTTTTATTGAATCAGCGTTATATAGTTTCTACGTCCCATACAACTGTTCTATTTATGAATGTTAATATTATATTATATACAATTTAATAACATTAACTTATTAGAGAAAAATTCTACACTTTCACACCACCACCCTTGATACGGGGCCAGGGTAGAAGGAATCGAAAACTTGCACAGCAACACAGAAAACCACTGCCTTACCACTTGAATTGATGATATACCCTTACACCACCACATAAATAGCGGTAAAATCAGAAACGCCTGCACGAAATTTGCAGACATTATGCAAGCAAAATTATAAATTCCCTGTCATCTTTAAATTCATGCAAGAAATATGTGATAAAAGACCACACAGCAGGTGAAATAAACTTTAATAACCACTGAGCAATTTTAAGTAACGTATCAAAGAGTGCAGAAAATAGCTAGTGCAATTTATCGTGTTTCCCTTTTGATATCCATTTTATTATTTTTTTACAATTGAAATTGATCATTCAAATAATATTGCAGAAAAAAATTTTACCGCAAAACAAAGATAATCATTGCTCGGATATATTACCGTAAGAAAATGTCGCATAATTTCAAAATAATTGTATTTCATAATGAAAATTCAATTTTAATTCACATTTTATCTCAAATTCATTGTCAAAATTAGTTAAAAATGATGCATAAACTTAACATTGGAAGTATGAAAGCTTAAATAATAAAATAAACCTTAATAATTTTCAAAATAAAATATTGATTTTTATGAAAATCCTACAATTTTCAAGAATTTTTGTGTATTAGACTAGGAAAAAAATTGTAGTATTATCAAATTTCATTCTAATTAAGTGTTAAAACTTTCAAAAAATATCAATTCATTAAAAAAAAAGTATTTGTCGAACTTAATTGACTATTTAATATGCATTGCACCGGAGCTGGTCATTAGGGTGTGGTCATTTGACAGCTCAAAATAATAAAAGAAACTTTTACAATTAAGTTTTGCCCAATGTTTCACCAGCAAAATTAATAAAATTTCTAATTTGTCATGGTTTTAATTCATTTTTACGATTAAAAGTGATTTTTATTTCAAATTTAGAAATTGATTTTTGTGAAAATCCTATTATTTGTAAAGGTTTTCGCATAGTAAACCGGGTAAAAAGTCCTTACATTATCAAATTTTATTTTAATTAAATGTAAAAACTATTAAAAAGTATCAATTCATCAAAAAAAAAAAAGAATTATTTTGAACTTAATTGATAAATTTATATGCATTGCATAGGTATTGGTCATTTACGGTGTGGTCAACTGCAACATAAATAATAAAGTAAACTTTAATAATTAGGTTTTAAGCAATATTCCAGTTGTGAAATTAA